CCCTGCAGGCCCGGCCCCGGGGGTGGAGCTTTCTCAGCTGCCCTGGAGGGTGACAGGGAGCTCAGCTAGTAGCAACATGGGGCAGGGGAGCAGGCACCATGATCTCATGGCAGCTTCTGCAGCACCTCCATCCTCAGATGCCTCGCCAAGGCCCCCAGCCCAAGGGAAGGGGTGTGAAAAGCGCACTGAGCCCAGCCTCCTCAGCTGCAGAACAGGCTCCACCGTCTGCAGGTGCTGCCTCCAAGGTGGCTTCCTTTACCTCCTCCACCCAACTCCTGCAGGTGTGCCTGAGAGCTAATCCCACGCACACGAGTCACCCACGGGGCTTGTTGAAAGCTTGGAGGCGGCGGCGGCTGCTGGTCCCTAGGCCACGCTTGAGTAGTGAGACATCTCTCCAAACTGATATGTGGTTAGCTAAGGGGGCAGAATATCCGAGACGGCCCCATTCCGGAAAATGCTGGCACATGCAGGTCAGATCTGGAATTTGACTATTTATTCCTGGAACCCAGGCTCCTTCTCACCCGCATTCTTAAAACTCCAGTTTGCATCAGAATCCGTCGGAGGGCTTGTTCAAACAGACGACCAGGCCCCAACCCGTGTTTCTGACTGAGTAGCTCCGGGGCGGGGCCGGGGCACCTGCCTTTCTAACGGGTTCCCAGGTGACTCCAATGCTGCTGGTTCGGCCCCTCATTGAGAAGCACTGCTTTCAGTTAAACATTTTCAATGCCCAGAGTCCCCCGCTGCATCTAATCAGTCCTTATCTATCCCACACCAGATCATCCCCAAAGGCTTCTTTTTCATGTGGTTTCTAACGGTCTCAACCCCCTGACTCCTGTCACCTTCTGATGAGCTGGCAGGTTCCAATCTCTGTGGCTCACACAACGGCTGCTCCACGAATGCCCAACCATCAGAGTCGGTGGCTGGCTTCTCAGCAGGGGCAAGTACAGGGAGCTGGGATTGCAGTCCCGGAGTTCGAGGCTGGACAGTGACCCGGATAGCATTGACGCCACTGCTGCTTAAGTGTGCTGCTGAGAACCCGGCCTGGATAAGGTCACGTGGATTCCCAAGCGCGTGTCCCCACTGTTCCCCCCAACTCCCACCCCGCACCAAGCAGGAACTGGGCTCAGGCAGGTGGAGCACGTGGCTCACAGCATCACAGCTGACAAGCAACAAGGCTGGGATTCACCCTGAGTCAGGCTCCTTTCAGAGGCTGCAATGTCCCAGGGCCGCCGGCCCCACAAGGATTCTGACAGTGCCTGAATGAGTGAGTGTGTGAGAGAATGAATGAATGAAAACACAGACGCCAGAAAAGAAAGGAAAGGGAGCGTCGTTTGATTGTTCCCCTGTATTAGGCTCCTGAGGCTGCCAACACAGACTCCGGCTTAGAACAACAAAAAGTTATCCTGTTACGGTCTTGGAGGCCAGAAGCTGGTCGAGGTATAAATGGGGACATGCTCCCTCTGGACGCCATGGAGGGAGGATTCTTCCTGCCTCTTCCAGCTCCTGGGGGCTCAGGCACTCCCTGGCTTGTGACTGCATCGCTGCCGTCTGCCAGCATCATCTTCCCAAGCTTTCTCCTCTGTCTTCTCTTTTCAGGAAGGCCCGCCCAGATAATTCAAGATGATCCCATGTCAAGATCCTTAATTATATCTGCAAAGACCCTTTTTCCAAATAAGGTAACAGTCACAGGCTCCAGGACATGGCATAAATATGTCTACTGGGGGCCACCATCCAGCCCATTACACCCCTCACATCTGAGATCTGAGTTCTCATCAGTCATTCAACAAACACTGATTGACTGAGCACCTACTGTATGCAGGCACTGGAGCTCAAAGGTGAAAGAGAAGGCTCCTCCAGAGAAGGGGACAGTCCCGTGGGGAGCTCACGATGAGACAAACCACCCCAGCCCAATGGGAGAAGGACTGGACTATGATACCCGAGAATGAAGGTGAATCTGGAGGGGCTTCCTGGAGAAGGTGTGGGGGCTGAGGGGATGTCTGTGCACCATTGGTGAAGGGCTGGGAGGCTGTTCTGGGAAGTGGAGACTCCAGTGGCAGGTGCATGAGCCAGTGCTCCCGGGAAGGGCCCTAGGGGACTGGGGTTCCCTAGGATAGAGACCTACGTCAGCGCTGAGCTGGGAAAAGGCTTAAACTCTGTGTCTCACTTGCTGGAGGGTCACTAAACCGTGTGGAGATGGCACTGGACACAGCAGGGAAGGCGGGGGCTGCGGGTGACACTGCAGGCAGGGCCTGTGCACTGCCCAGGCTGCGAGAGGGCGGGGGCCACACGGAGTATTCACACAGCTCTCCCCGGCCTGCCACAGAGGCCAAGTCAGTCCCACTCCCCCCACATCCAGCCTCCTGAGAAAGGAGATAAAGGGCCCTTCATCGGCGGCTGGGGGCTTTGTAGTCCTTAATCTCCACTTGGGGCTGGGGGGACACTTCCCTGTCCCTGCCGGTGGGTCCCTCATTAGCGGTCCATTAACGTGCATGACTTAGAAATTGGCCACTGGGCTGTGAAATTCCAGGCAATGGGGAAAACCTCTTAATTCGGAGGAGCTTTGATATCCACTCTCTGCCGGCCTCACAGGGCTGCGTGACCTTTCCCTGCTGGGCCCCATCTGCAGCCAGTGGGCCGGCGGGCGGGCGGCCACCCTCTGCTTAGTCGGCCCAGCCCACCCAGACCTGACACTGGCTCCAGTGCAGCAGGA